TGATGGCAGCTATGAATTAAGAAAAGTTAGTTTCTTTATAGAAGGTCAAGGCTGCATTTAAAGTGTTTGATGCAAATGATGATGGCAAGATCTCTAAATAAGAATTAGAATTAATGATAGGGACTTTGGATTAAGATTTATGGGAATAAATTCTTGAAGAATGCGATGCTCAAGAATATATAACAGAAAAATAATTTATTAATATCTTACTTAATTAAAAAATTTGATATTTATTAATGAATGTGTTATCTTAATTCAAGAACTGTAAAATAAATGATAATCTCTAATAGCATAAAATTCTAAATTTAATAAATGAAATACCGCTCCCATCTCCATTTTAAATAACAAATTAAAAAGTTACTGTACTTTTATTATGAGGGAATGATATATCAACAGTAACTAATTAATCTTTATAAGAATTATTGGAAGAACATAAATTTTAAAGGTTTGTTTGATAGTCTACACTTTAATCCCAAATAATAACTTTGTCTGCCAAAATCCTTAGAGATTTAGTTTTAACCCAAGCTTCTAAAAAGTATATAGTTAATTTAAGTCTTAACATTTAGTGACTTTAGGAGAGGGATATACGTTTTTATAAGAAAATATTATATTTGCCTATATTAATTCCTCCAACTACACTTTTTGAATCACATGAAGATATTGCTATAGGTGAATAAGATAATAATTGCCAATTTTTAGGATCTGAAAACTAAGTAGTAAAAAAATTTGAATTAACTAATTTTTCCACTTGAGTACAGGGAGTAGTCGAACAATCCTCTTTGATTGAATATATCTTAAATTAATTAAATCCATATTTATAAATTCCAGAACTATATGGTATGGATTCAAATTAGATTCTCACAAAATTAGCAGTATGATCAAATGTATATTCAAAATATGGGTAATCTTCAATATCATATTATAATGAAGATGTACAAATACTAGTTGGAATATCTTAACCAATTTCCACAATTTCATCATAATCTTCATCAATCTTTAAATTTATATTTTGTTTAGGACCAGAAGAGTAAACTTAAAAACTAACCTTGATTTTTTCATGATCTTCCAACACAAAGTCTTTGTATAGGAGATTGTATAAAGAGAGATAATTCATATTAGGAAAATAAGTATCAGTCAAAAAGGTTTTTTGGATTTACCCAGTAGCATCTGAAGGAAAGTAACTTCCCCAATCTGATTGACTTGCAAAGGAATTCTATGTTAAATCATTTTCTATTTCAATTTATGTCAATTTGATTTCTGAAATACAAGATTAACCATTTCCTGCCTCACATAAATCACACATTGAATCACAAGCTAAAATATATACATTCATTTCTCTTATTCCAAATGAATCTGTAGGTGATATTAAATCACTCATAAACTAAAAAGTTGTATATTAGTTGTTGTGATTGATTGTTATATCAACATCATAATATTGTTCTGGCATTGTAGTACTACCACATATAGATATTTTCTAATATTAGTTTTGAGAATCTAACCAAACAATAGAATTATCAATTTGTAATTAATATTGTGAAGTTTATAATGCATCAAACTTCCAGAACTAAAATGTTATTCTTAATTAATAATGAGGTTCAAGAAATAGCTATCTAGTTAATGTTGTTCCTGTTGAATATTTTCCAAAGGTTGATATTTCTGACAAATATTAATGATTAGTTACAATCACACACATTTTCACTAATCTGCTGGTTAGTAACTATCCAACCTTCGTTAGAATAGAAACTAAATTCTGTGAAATAGCTCATCTTTAAAATATACGGTTTGCATTGAGAAGAGTCCATATCAAGGTAGGTACAAAAATAGCATCCTACTGGACAACTGTAAGTATAAATATAAACATCTCTCACACCCCAATATTTCTATTCTTATATAACTAAATACTTTTGAAGATGTTGTTTATAAAGTAGATGTAATTTCTAAAATTAATGATCTTTATATATGAGAGAAAATTATTTCTTAATATAAAAATTGCCCAAAAGAATTTGCTAAATTTGAACTTACAGTCTATTGATCAATGATTTCTCCATTTATTTTTGTTTAAATAGATTCATTTTCCCATGTATTGATTCTAAATCATTAAATATTATACGCCCAAATCTTCAACTTTAATTTTACTGTGTGATGAGGAGATGATATTAATATTAACTTATATATAGAAACTCCAGCTCCAAAAAGATTATTTCCTCCAAAAATGGTTTAGCCATCTCTAACTTCATATCCTAAACTTCCTCCAATTACACTCCAACCTAAAAAATTATTAATAAAATTGAATACCTTATGATGATGAAAATGTGTTTTCTGTAAAAGCTGAATATGCTAATTACATTGAAGTAATGCCAATTTAACAGAACATAAAAAAACAAACGACTCTTAACATCCAAAAATTGATAAAAAATTGTAAATTAAATTATGAAAACTTTCATTTTTGCAAAGAGAAAATTATAAAAATAAAAAAACCATAATATTTCTATATCTAATCTAATAGTTAAAATGATATCTTAATTCTAAGATTTTATATATTTTTACTATCAATTTTGTGTTATTTATGATCTTATATATGTAAAACAATTAGAAAATTCGTTTATTTATATCAAAATTGTAATTAGAATTAAATAATAATCAATCATTTAATTTTTATCAAAATCAGTTCACTTAGTTTAATACTAAGATAAGATATGATTATAAAATAATAAATAAAAATTAACAAAATTAAGTTATACAATTACAAATTGTATCTTAAATATTTTTGACTTATTATTCCATCTTTAACCATTTAAAATTTTAGATCAATTAAATATTCATTTTTTTTAGTAATGAATATAGCAAATGTTGATTACTTCAAATTTTTTTATTTCCTTAAATTTATTTCAATTTTAATTTTTTAATAATTCTAATATCTATTCTTTTAAGAAATTCAAGATCATAAATGTATAAAATTTGTTTTAAAGAAACAATTATATAAGATTCATATTGATTTCCATTATATCAGTATTTGAAGAGATTTATTTTAAAATAAAAAATTTATATGTTATCCTTAAAAATGAGGAAAGAAGTCCTTTTATAACCAAATCTATTAAATTTTTTCTTTATATCTAATAAAATGATTTTTCTTAATTAAAACATGAAATATAATTTAATCAAAATGTTTAATAAAAAGTAACAGAAATAACATCATTAATATTTAGTATAAAAAGTGGTGAAATATTTTAGATTGTTGGATAGAATATAAAGTTTTTAGTTCAAAAATATCAAAAATTTTTAAATGTTTCCCTTTCTTTATAAATGATTAATTTCTTATTTAATACAGGTAAAAAAACCTATGAAATTAGAAATACTTTATAATAAATTATCATTATTAGTAAAATCTGAACCATTTTATATTTATTTAATTGCTTCTTAAACAATATGATAAATATTGAATTTCTTATTCTAGTTATTGAATAATAATTATATTATAATATGGATTTAAAGGTTATCATTTAAAATTGTGTTTTAGTAACTTAAGGCAATTTTTTTATGGTTGTTTAAATTGATGAATTGTAATATACATCAAAAGAAAAGAAGACATAAAAGTTTAGAAGCGAAGTTCAATTTACAAATGCTCACCCATAATTTAGAAAAAATGTTTTTCAATTTACCAATCTCTCATATGGAGATAGAGTCACTCTAAAAATAGGTTGTTTTAACACCAGATTAACTTCTGAACCTTAAGAATAGCGTAAATTACTTGAACATTCTATTCTTTTTGGAACTATGTAACTAGTCCTTACAGTGAAGCTATTAGAAGTGCTTCGTATAGAAGGTTAATTGTAACATGAATCTCTTCTTTATGACCCAGAAGATCAAAGGAAAGAGAAAGGAAGAATTTCAATTTTACTTAGACATCAATCTCATGATCTCAAGGCATAAGAAGAAGATGATGTTGAAAGAATAGAAGAAATTTATTATGATCCATTTGAGAAAGATGAAGCTGTAATAAGGAGAAAATTGCAAAGAGTTGAATTAAAACTTACAAGTTTGAATTTGTCAATGGAACCTATTTAAAAGAAACTAAATTTCATAAGAACTGCTCATAAATAAATATCATTTGATTTGGCAACTCTTAGATAACAGAAGGATCAAATTGAAGAAGAGAATAATTACTTCTAAAAAATTGTAAACTAAAAAAATGATGTTAAAGAATTGCATATTTAGATTGATTTATTATGTAATACTGATTATGGTTAAGATATATTAAAGAAGAAATTAGTTTTATTAATGAATAAATTAGAATTTGAACGCAGAATTTATCATGAATTATCAAATCATTATTATTAAATAGAAAGTGCTCATACTGAAGCAAAGAATAAAACTTAAGAGTTGTAAACACTTAAAGATACTATTTAAGAACAAGATTTTCTAATAAAAAGATTAGAAGATCAAAAACCTATCCTAACTAATTTGAAAGAAACTATGGAAAATTAAGAAAATATCATTCTTAGTTTATAAGAGACTATTAAAGAAACTTCAAAAAATTTAACTAGGTTAGATAAACAATAATTATTTTACAATTTAGATAAATTAAGGGCTGATTAACAATTACTTAAATAGAAATAAGTTTAATTATAGCACATATCAGAGATGAATAAGGGAGAAATTCCAAGATCTTTCTTTGAATAATTTAAAAGTGATGATTTTTTTAGAGATAATCCAATAATTGTGAGTAAATTTCAAAAAAGAGCAGAAATGCTTTTGAAAGAGATTGAATTATTGTAAGAAGGATTAGCAGAAACTAGATAAGCCCCTATATAATAATCTATTCGTCCAAAATCTTAAGGTACTAATGATAATGTAATTCTTTAATTGGAAATATAATAAGCAGAAAATAAGGCAGAAATATTGGAAGAATAAATGTTAGCTGTGGCAAGAAATTATGCAAAATAAATTGCAGATTTAAAAGCACAATTAAATATAATTGAAGCATAATTACGATGAACTTATCAATTAAAACCATATTTTTACTACATTATTATAGATGCTGCTAATTCTAAATTACCATTTGTCTAATCTAGTACAATTATAGCCTCAGCTCTTGAAGCTCCAATATTAATAATTGTTTATATTGAAGATTCTGGATGTCTAGTATGACTAGGTTGTTGTTATTATTATTATTATTATTATTATTATTATTATTATTATTATTATTATGGTTATTATTATGTTTATTATTATTATGGTTAATTTGAACTTTTTATAGGCTATTCTTCTTCTATTTAAGAATCGCTATTTTGTCTTTTTAAGATCTCCTATTCTTATTATATGCTTATTCTTTTATGAATCTAACCTTCTGGTAGAAATGGTACACTTAATTTTTCATTTGGAAAGATTAAACAATTATCTTTTAAATTTATATTACACTAATAATTATGTATACAATATTACTTAATATCTTTTAAGCATATCTAATCCAAACAAAAAATCAATGCCATCACCATCTAAAATAGTCAAAGAGCATGGTAAAAACTAATGATAATTCAAATAGATTTACTTGATTTAGTATTTACATTTCCACAACATGAATTCTTCCAATAATTTTTTAAGTACCTACTCCTTAGGCTATACCTGAAAAACGAGTATCTACCAATCTCATTATTCCACATCTCTCTGCACAAGCTTTGGACATAATTGTACTTTGTGCCCCACTATCAACAAAAGCCTATACAGGATGACGATTAATTGATAATTCAATATATAACATAGTAACTGTTCCAAAACTTTCAGGAATGAATTCTTCAGCGTATTCTCGATTTTCTTCAATATTTTTTTTGTTGATCATTTCTTCAATAAGTTTTTAATTTTCAGGATTAAGGGGATCTTATTCCAATTGTTACATCTTTCGTATGTATTCTTATTATTGTTAGAATTTTTTTTATTGCTTAATGAAATGAGATTTATACTTATTTCTAAATATATTCCATAACACCTGCTAATTTTTTTTTTTCTATTGATTCTGCCAATTTTGGATCTTTGATTCTTATTGCTTCCATCAAATGAGGATTTTATTGGATATGTTTGATAAACTTAATAGCTTCTAATTCTAATGGAGTCCTTTATTATTTCGGTTTCCTCTCAATAAGAACCAAATCTTCATTTTGCATATTATATTTTGAGAGAGTATCATTATCATTCATAAATTATCCTCCATAAATCAATTATTATCTGGCAACTGCTATTTAGAACTTAGATTAGAATATAAAATACTTCAACTTCGATTAATGCCTTTAAGTCTAATACAGTAAGTGTTTAATCAACTTCTAAGATTGAAATTTTATCTTTTACAGGATCTGTGACTTGTAATCTGTAAGACATTTAGAAATTAATTTTATTAATTATTTTTATTATTTTGTAAAGAAAATAATCCTAATCTCTTTCAATAGCTATATAATAAAACTAAGAATAAGAAATTTTAACTTTTATTGTAAATTCTTATTTGAATTTCTGTCTATCAACCAATAATTAAAATTTATTAATATTTGATTATAAAGTGTAAGTATTTGCGTAAATTAATAGAGCTTAGTCATAGATAGCTATTATGATGAAGGGATAACTGTACAATATTAAAAATTAATTTCAGATTCAAATGAATTTTAAATTTAAGTTATAGAATTAAAATTTTTAGTTTTTAATATGACGTGTTAGCAATTGTATTACACTTGATTAATTTAAATTCAAAAAGAGTAATAGTGTGTATCAAAACATGTCATTTTTAATAATCATAATGAAATAATAATACATCTTCAATATATACTAAATATAAAAATTAAGTGGAGTAATTATATTAATAGTGTGCATTATGATATATTTTAAATCGTTTTTTAAATTCTTAATTTTATCACTTAAAAAAATAAATCCATGAATAAACAATTCAAGGTAGCCTTAATAGGTAATTCCAGAAGTGGGAAGTCATCTCTAATAAGAAGTTTAAAAGGAGAAGAGTTTTTATATGAAACATAAGAAACTATCGGAATCGATTTTTATCAAAGAAGTCTTGATTTCAAAAATATCAACTACACATTTAAACTTTATGATACTAGTGGATGTGAAGCCTATAGATTAATTTTGAATAGACTTTTGAGCCAAATCGATGCTGTAATTATTTGCTTCGATGCTTCATAAGAGAGGTATTAAGAACAAATAACTGGTTGGTGTCATTTAATAGAAAATGAATTAAGAACAATACCAACCTTTATTGTAGGGAATAAAATTGACATTGAAAATTTCAGTTTAAATTCTGATATATCTTCAAAATATCCAGTTTTCTATGCTTCAGCTAAAACAGGAGAGAATGTATAGAAATGTTTTAACAAAATATTTATGTCATTGATACCTAAGAAGCATTCTATGATTTAAAAAAAGCCATAGAATAAATAGAGCACTTGGGGATTACTTTGTTCTTGTTGCAAAGGAGAATGAGAAGATGATTCTAGAATATTTATTTGTTTAATGTTTAATGTTTAATGTTATATTGTTGTATATAATGAATAATAATTATCCATTTGTAATAAAATATGGTTTATTATCATAAGTTAAAAATGAATATTATTTTTATAGAATATATAAGGATTTCTGAAGAAGAAGAATTTGACTGAAAATAATGTTTACATTGGATATTAGTTATGGATCAATAATATATTTTAATTTATTATTACAATAAGAAATATTTTATATTTTATATAAATAATGAATTCAAGAAATGGATCTAGAGAAAGATAAACAAAAGAAGATGGTAAATCCTTATTTTGGGAACATTCCAAAAATTTACCACCCTTTTTTGCTGAGAATATATTATTTTTAGAAATGGAAGTTGAATGCAATAATGTTACTATTGAAGTTGTGAATCAATTATTAGAATTATATCGTGTAATTTAACATAATATAAAGTAGATTGGTGTAGAATACTTTGAATAAATTAAAAGCAATAAGTTTTTGATTTTTAAGAATAAGACATAGTAATTATTAATGAAAGGAACAGTTAATTAATGCATGAATATTGCTTATGAAGAATTGAAACATGAAACAGCACTTAAGAAAACATCACATCATGAAAATTAAGACAAAATTCCTCCATTACCTCCATCTTCAAAATTAGTAATTTCATAGAAATCTTAGAAATAATAAGAAGTAGAAAATCAACTCAAATATATCAAAGAATAAGATTAAAAATTGTAAGTTAATCAATTGTTAGAATATCATGGTTATGAGTCTTAACGTGTTACAAGAATACATAATTAGTAATCTATTTTTATTATCATAGAGCTTTATAAGAATAAGAAGATTAAGTGTAACAACGCTTATAAAGAAGAAGAATGAGATCTGTAAAGCTAAAAGGATAAATAGAATGAAATTTCAATACTAATTAATTTTCTATATATATTATTATAATTATTCTGTCTATTTTATTTTGTTAATAACACAAAAATTGAAATCAATTTGAATCTCATCATGAATATGTATAAGCAAATATAAAATATCTAGAATAAAGGATTTCCTTTAATTATACTAAAACTACTTAAATCCCTTTTTTATTTTAGTAACCAAATCATAACATCAATAATTATTGGATAAAGGTTAATATTGTTAATTTAAAGATAAGATATAATTGCCTTCACATAAATCTCATCCAAAATAAAAAGAATAATCTAAACTTCGCATTCAAATAAATGATATTCGATAAATAAATCTTTGATAATTTATTCTAAAATCAAATGAGGAAGAAATATCAAAGGAAAAAAAGAGATATATCCATACATGTAGAATCATATATAATAGATAAAACTTAAATAGAGAAAAAAAGAATACAAAAGTCATATAAAAAATTGAAAGAAAATTGTGTAAATTCAGCTATAAACTTAGAATCCTTATTATCAAACAAAGGAGATATATCATAATACTAATCTGATAAACATTAATTGATGATATTCTTCTATAGGTAATGATCAAGTTGTATAATTTAAGTGCAATATTTAAATGAATAATACTATAAAACTATGACTTTTAATTAGTTATGTTAAATCATAGAATTTAATAATGAAGAGATTTAGGAATAGTTTAATGTTTATGTTAAAGATTTCATATTAGAACTTAGTAATATAATGGATGAATATTGATTAATTAATAATTATATTATATAACCGTTAAAACATAATGAATTAATTTGCCAATTACATGTAATATTAGACTAAAAGAGTAGTCTCTGTATATCAGCAATAATGCTATAGTAAGTCTCCTCTAGAAAGAAAATGTTTAGTTGTTAATTAACAATTAAGTCCAAATTAATAAAAATATATGAAATAGTTCAAGTGCATTGATCAATATAAATATTAACAACCAAAAGCAATTATATATCCATCTAAAGGTATGTCACCAACTAACAAATAACCACTTATAGCTACTAAATTAAGAATTTAAGATAGAGAAAATAATAATCATAATCATTATTATAATGCAAATATTATATTCTAACCATGTAAAACTCCTAGGGATCCTTTAAAATCTTAATTGTTTTCTCAATAGAATTCACCTAATATTAAATAACCAACTCCTTAATTTGAAAATCGTTATGATTATGAAGAGAAAAATCAAGAATTCAGATTATCTAATTCGTAAATCAATTTCAGATTTGTAGATTCAGAATAACATACATTTGATGAATAATAACTTAAAAATATAGCAAATTAATTCAATAAAATTGAAATTGGATTAAAAGAACCAGAGATGTCTCCAAAATCAATTAAATCTGATGAATTCTTAGTATAGATGGATTCAGTAAAGAAATCTGATTATTCTAATAAATCAAATAAAAAAAATGTTTGTATTTAAGCTTTTGAAAGTACTTAATTTGAAAAACCTGAGGAATAGTTAGGTAAAATTTTTGGATCTTTGAAAAAGCTTAAGATCATAAAAAAGAAATAAACTTAACCTACTCTATAAACTTAGGTTACTCAAAAAACAATGGAAGATGATAGTATGATGAAATTGGATACATAATAGGATTAATAAGCTAAAACAATAAGTGGATTATCTAATATAGATTTTTAGAGTGAAAAGTTTCAAACAGAAATAACTGATCTTGTATTATATTTTTATAATAAAGGATTCACATAGAATAAGAAATCATTAAGTTGAAGAACATGACTAATTTATCAATTTTAGATAAAACATTGCAACCCCAAAATAATTAACATAAAATAATATTAGTAGTTTTATTATAAATAAATTTAGGTTTTCTAATGTATAAAAAATAATTTGAGAAAAAGCAATGAAATTTTTGTTTATATTTAGTTATTATCAAAGAACTTCAAATTTAATTTACATATACTTAATAACAAATGTCATTCAATTGAAAAATCTTTGTTATTATTTAATTCTTTCCTTAATGTAATGTGAATTAGGAAGATCAAATCTAACTTTACGTTTTTCCTGTTATTATGTTCTAAAAGAATCATTATTTTTTTGTTATAATTTTAATACACTTCTGGGGGTAACACTTTTTTAATCATCTGATAATTCAGCTGTATGTGATCTATTTTTAAGTTATTATTCTGTGATTACGGATAATGATTATTTATTTAGATTGGGTTCCATACTTACTTAAGTAATAGGATGTGATAATTTAGATGGAGTACTCTCTCTAGATATGGATGGTTATTGAATAAGAAATGGAGCTGATTGTATTGCATTATTAGATAATTCAGCACCAGTAGTTGTAGGTGTTTTCATAGTTATTGTTGGGTCTTTAATAGATTAAATTTGATCTAATGTTTATTTATTTTCTATAGTATTATTTTTAAGAGTTTAAAATTAAGGAGAGTCTATTTTGATTTCTTTTTAACTTTATGGCTAATCAATTATTTCTTAAAAATTAAAGAAAGCAATTTCTTAACTAAAGTAGGTTAAGCTACGATTAAATTTTAAATTTCTAATTTTTGGTTTTCTGATTTTCTTTAATTGACTACTTTCAGTAGGAATATTACATTCCTCAGATAACAAATACCTTTCAGTTGAATTAGGAGATCGATTTGATGCTTTTCGATTAGTAGAAAATTTAGTTTTATTTAAAGAGTCACTTGAATTAGATTGTGCAGGAGATCCTGTTTTGCTTTTATTATTTGAAAATCTATTTGATCTTTTCTATATACTTAAAAGTATTTTACCATTTAATCTTAACTTATTCTTCTACGAATTTCCCTTGCTTATTCTTCTAGTAAAATAGTATTTTAACTTCCACATTGACATGCTAATCTATTTTATTAGCATACGCATCTGCAATTTTTTAACTAACATGTACCCATTTTTATTGATATAATTATTACATTAATAATCAATTTTTGTAAATTTCCTCTAACAATTTCAAAGTCTTGATGCATTCAGATTTCTCTTATTTTCCTGGTTTCACACACATAATAAGTATACCCTTGTCTTTCTTGTCTCTCTTGAATCCTTCCAATCCTCTGCAAGCTATCATATTTTGTTCCCCTTAAGCAATTAATTAATAATGCTTCAGTCCTGCAAGTATACTTTTAATAGTTTATTTTATATCATCATTCAATTACAGATTGATAGTCTTCTCTCCTGATTCTGTATACAATTATAGTTTGAATTGTTTAGGCATTATTCGTTTGATTAGTTCTTGGAATAACTTCTTCTTGCCACTTTGTTTTTAACCTACAATCATTATTTATTATGATTAGGGTATATCATTTGAACTTCCCAAAGCTGCTTATTTTAAATAATAATATCTTAATGAATGAATTGTACCATCATCATTCATTTTCCTTACTTCAATTTTATGTGGAGTAATCAATTTAATGTGATCATTCAATCTATTAGCTACTGGAAAATACAAATATGGTTGTTATTACATTATTTCATGGAGAGATTGTGTAGGCATTCTTTCAACTGTTGGTTTTGTTTCATAATGACATATGAAACTTTTCAAACTGTTAAGATATTCTCTAGCTGCTTTAGGTGACATAGCTTATCTTAATGTAGGAGATTAATATTAAGAAATAGTTGATTGATCTTATGGTCTATTTAATTTGTTAAGAGGTGTTTTTGTTATTATTTATCCGAAATGACTCTATTTTATTAGTGAATTTTAGCTGTTACTTTAAATCATAATATTTTTTTAAAAGTAATTTATTATTATATATAATTGTTAATATATTGTATTCCTTTGTATCAATACATTATTATATTTGATATTACATTATTTATTGTATGATTTATTATAAATTAGGATTTTGATTTTTGGACTTATAAAAATTGATTCAGAATTTATAATTTAACAGAAAAAATAAATAAATTTATGAATAATTCAAGATCAACAGTCAAAAAAGGAACAAATAATCTTCCTATTTAAAATGGAGACTTGGAAGAATATATGTAATTGATAAAATATACTATATTATTAGATAAATATTGTATGATCATTAAAAGAGTTGTGAAAAGGCAGGGAAATATTTAGAAGCTGATTAAGCAAAAAAAAGATTAGGAGAATTAAAAAAAGATTTAGATTAAAAAAATAAGATTGAAGTTAAGGATAGACATACTAATGAAAAATAAGAAATTGAAAAGGCTCATCTTGAAGAATTTAATCAATTTAACGAATTTTGGGATTAGAAAATGGCTGAATTTGATTAAGAAGCTCAAAGAGTTAAAGAATAAGTACTTTAAAGACATGATGAAGAATTGAAACAATTTACAGATGAATTAGAAAATTCAATACCTGTTAAACCAAAAGATTCTGCAGAATTACTTAGTTTAAGAAAGACTGAAGAATCTTTGGCAAGATAAGAAAAGTTTATATAAATAAATATATATTTAGTTACTAAGAGGCTCATGTTACTTAATAAAGAATATTATCAATGGAAAGAGATGAATATGAAAGATGGAATTAATCAAGATCATGTAAGATTAGAAATCTCATTCTTCAACTTAAACAAAAATAAAGTACTGAACTTAGTGCTTTACAGTAAAGAATTGTTTCAGGATAAGAAGAATAAAGAAAGATTAGATCATAGGAATTAGAGAAGTATATTTAATGAGATAAAAATAGATTATTATAAAAATATTAGAATGTTAGAAAAGAATTGAGTAGTTAATAGAATTAAGAAATCACAAGACTTGATAAGACTAATAAAACTTAATCTATTATGTAATAATCAAGAATGAATTCATCTAAAATGTAAGGTTCTTCAATGAAAAAAGGAGATGAAGAAAACTATTATATTAAATGATAAATATCAAATACTTTATTATAAATGAAAATAAATTAATTCAATCCCAAGACTAAGCATAGTTAATTTAGTAGATCAACTAGGGCAACTTCAATGTTATCACTTAAAAAAGTTGATGAATCAACACTAGGAACTGTTGGGAACTGGGCATAGACTACTCTTCCTTAAGTAAAAAAGAAAGAAAATAAAATTTTATCTATTTATCAAGAAGATTATAATTTTCTAAGGGATCATGATAAATTCTTTAAAATTAATGATGATGATAATTCTCCATATGCTAATAGGAAATAATAATCTTTGAAAATTTTGTCTCAAATTGATTTAAATGATATAAACGATTTAGAAGAAAGATTTACTTTTGTTCTGAAGTATTGATTTATTATGTCAATCAAAGATATCTAAGACAATCTAAAATAGGCAATTTGTACAATGTCGCCGTTTTTACTTATGCATACATTTTAGAAAAGCAGTTTCAATATGATAAAGCAATCTTAATTTGGTAAAAATTCTTAGTATTTTGCAATTCAAATCGAGTTTATCGTTATAAAATTATTGCATATAAACATCTAGTAGAACTCTCACTTTTGATTCAAGATTTTAGGAAAGCATTAAATTATTCTAAAAAACTCATTAAATATACATTATTTTTTAATGAGTCTAATTATGAATTAAATACATATGATTAAATAGGCAAAATATTTTATTACACAAAAGAATAATAATTAGCAAAGGCTTTTCATGAAAAATTTATGGATGGTGAACCTATGCCAATATAAAATAAGATTCGATAAGCTATTGTTAGGATGATTGAATATAATATTCGATAAAAATAATCAATAGGTTAAATTGATACTGACAGTGAGGATGATTTTGAATTAGAAAAATTAGTTGAACCAAAAAATTTAGAATTTCATCCTATTAGATTTAAAGATGCACTACTTAAATACAAACATTTATGGGGACATGTTTAAAAATAAAGTGAACCCTTAGGACCACTAAATGTATTAACATTTGATAAAAGATTATTTTAAAGAGAATACTTTACTTAATTAAGTAATAATAATAGTATTAAGAGTTTCATACTTAATAGCAATATCTCTATAAAAAAGAATAATTTATAAAAAGTCATTGATAAATTAATAAATGACATCTAATCTTTTTGATTAAATTAATATCATTACATTTATTTAAAATATATTATTATTGCCCATTTACATCAATATTTAATAAATATTAACACATTTCTAAAGACTATAAATATATAATTTTATTAAAATCAAATTAATAAAAATAATTATTCCCCAAAAAATGATGAGGAATATATATAGTGTATATTCTAAAATATATTATGAACAATAATAATATCAGAATTTATGATGGATAAAGTACTTTAATATATAAGTAGAAATATAAAAAAAGGTAAAAATTGGTAATTTTTCCATTAGTTTGATTATACAAATATTACATTTTCTATTGAAAATCTAATATTTATATCTTTTATAGAATTAAAAATATATATATATACATTTAATATGTATTTTTAAGTTGAAATACTTTATATAGAACTATTCAACTTTTTGTAAATTCTATTGTTATTATTGCTTTGTAGAATAATTAAAAGCATATTGAATTTAACTAAACAGTAATGAGTATTTAAAAAAACATACGATATAAAATATATAATCAAGTTAATCCTAATGTTATTAACATTTGATATTCAAGATAATTAATGCTACAGAAATTTGATTAATTGCAATTTTTTATAAATTAAAAAAGTGTTCTGGATGGTTTAAATAAAAAAAATCTTAATTCTGGAGCACTATTCAAATCTGAAATTTATTTTCCATTATTATATATATTATGAATCAACAGAAGAGAGAAAGAAGAAGTTCATCGATCAAAAAATTTGGTTTTTATGCCAACAGAGATTACACGAATAAATCTGTTTAAAAGAGGATTTAATACAATATCAATCGAAAATAAAAAAAGAAAAATAAGTAAAAGGACTAATAGGGTAAAAGCCAATCGTTTTCTTAATTTACTTAAGAAGAGGATGACCGAATCCTTAAATTAGTTCATGATTTAGGACCTAAATTCATGAAAATTGCTCCATTCTTTCCTAACAAATCATATAGTATGGTAAAAAATAGGTATTACAAACACTTGAGAGATAAACAAAAAGACGTATGCAAAATGTAAATTAAAATATATATCTAAGGGGTTGTGATATAAAAATTGAATAAGAAACTATGTCTTAAAAGCCTAATGAAAAACTTAATGAATTAAATTAGCTAATTCATTCTATTAATCTATCTCCAGAAATCATTTCCTTAACTGAAACCTTCCTCTAGCACATTCAGAAGTGTCTAACTTGAATCTATGAATACATATTATTATTAAAAATATCTATCCAATTTCTTACTGATTATATTATACAAAATTGCTAAATAAACTCTTTTATGATTAATCAAAATTATTTTAATTAAAATAAAATAAGTAATGAATTGCAATATCATTTAGGTAATATTGGTATTGGTTCATTGATATCTTCGTCTTTGTTATCTAAAAAGCCAAGTGAATTGGAAACTTGGAATATATTCAATTGCCCTATTTATTTTTGTAATTACAGTTATAGTTTGTTAATCTAATAATTCAATTATTCTTTCATCAAAAATTGTTTAATCTTATGAAATAAACATTTTATGTTAATAATCTAAGTTAGAAGTTGTATATTTATGTCTATTTTATGATATTTAGTAAAAGTGTTTAATAAACTCAATATTATTAATTTTTATATTGTTATTTTTTAATTCATTACTAACTTGAATGAACAGATTAAATATAATGTATAATAAGAGTTATACATTTACATAATAATCTTTTTGATTTTATTAATTTCATACAAATATTTATTTTATTTATCATTATGTCTAAATTTTATTTTTAGAGCTCTTAAAAAATGTTCCCTTAATAATTTTTGCAGTCAATTAAAAATTAACAATTTGAATTGTTGGTAATTTATGGATTTGACATCTTCAACAATAAACAGAGATCTTATAATCAATTAGCTTTATCATTTTCTAATAATTATTAAAGATAATATTGGATTCATAGGAATAATGATAACTGGTTTATGTTAGAAGCCATCTTCATTTAGGGGATACTATAATATTATTTAATAATTTTTGAAGCTGATACAGGATAACCTCAGACTTCACAATTTTTTGTTTATTTATAGTATTGAAAGGGTTTATTTAATTAAATTAAGTAATCACTGGAATAAAAAAGAAATATTTTTTACAAATTGAGAGATTGAAATATGTATTATCGTAATATTTTTTCTAACTTTTAAGTTAATTAACCTACACTCTTTGTGGGAGAAATAATTATAGTAAATTTATAATTTAATAAAGGGAAAGTCTAAAATCAACATTGATATATTATTTTACTTTTGCATCAAACATTTGGATATCTGAGGATAATAGTGATGGTTCAGCTTTACATAGTATTATGATAAATTCATTGATTAAGTAAATTAAAGTCAAACCTCAAATAATAATATTAGTAATCAAATCAAAGCATAGTATTTCTATTTATTTAACATTCTAAGATTTGATGGTCAACCAAAGATGTATTTTTTGATATATCTTAAAATCACGAAATTTAAAGAAAAGGTTTTAAGTAGTATATAAATTTTATGTTATTTTAATAGTTGTATTATTATGATTCAAAATAAATTATTATATCCAACAGCAGCACTAAATTGTTCTCCAATACTAGATTTTGGATTATACTTAGTAAAAAACTCTTATTTCAATTATTCTGTTTTCATTTCTTCCCTAGTTAAGGTATGCTTCTTTTATTATTCTGCTACTGATCTTTTATCTTTTTTTTCCTTTCTATCTTATATCCTTTGTTAAGCTGTTAATTTACTCTTTTTTGGTTATTCTATCTTTAAAATTTAAATTCCTTTTTTTTCTTATTCTAATCTATAAGCCCTTGCACGAATATGTTCTGCTTCTGATAATGTTTCTTTCACTAAAACTCTTCTGATTGTTCCTTTTAATTAATCGATATTAGTATTCTTCCATTTATTTTTTAATTAATTTAGATCATAGAATTTTTCTATTTTCCTTTCAGCTTCCTTCTATTTCTCTCTCTTAGAATGGGCTCTAATCTCAGTTAATTTGTCTGAATAACATGAGGCAGTGTCTTCTAAAGAAGATCTAGACATTTCTCTAATAGTTTTTTCATCAAAGTGAAAATCATCTCCAAGTTCTAATTTATGTTATTAATATTCATCTGTTTTCTTTGATAAAAATAATCTTATTGATTATAAATATTTATTAATTTCTTAAATGTTCCTATTTGGAAGTCCCTTCAAAAAATCCTCTGTTATATGTTATTTCTATTTTATTAATTCTTCTAATCTAAAGAATTCCTTCTCTCCACCTGCATCTAAAATATGTTAAATTGCATCTCTCATTTCATGAAATAACTTCTTTATTCCAGTTTTCTAATTTAAGTAAATACAAATTAATACCCATCTCAAAATATCTTCGTTCTTTGTTTATTTATAGGTTCCTAATGTTTATCTAATTCTTTAAGTAACTTATTTACGATTCTTAATTAATCTCTAAGTTTTTATTAGATCTTCTGCAACCAATTATTTACATATATCTTTGGCTAATGTATAAGCTTCTTTTGCACCAGCTAAGTATTTACTTCTGATTGAATCTATGTACCTAAAGTAAAATTCATCATCGTTGTATAGTTTCCCTTCTAAGTAAAAATCTTTTATGAAGTTCAAATCTTCATCCTTAAACAATGGAACAATCACTTACTCCTATTTCGCATAACAAATGTTTTTCCCATGCTATAGTTTCTGTATTCCCTGTATAACGATCATATTTTCTTAATGTCACATTTGTTATATCTAGTTTCTTCACTGGTGAAATTGGTAATGCAACTGAAAGAGAATGTCCATATCTATCTCTTCCCATTGTTGGTTTTATTGAATTACTGTTACTTTAAATAGATTACATAAAAAATAAAAATTAATTAATTTTTTTAGTGAGTAGAAGATCAGATTAATTATAATTTTTTATTAAACTGTTATATATATATATTTAAATATCTTATAAATTAATATTAATTATATCATAATACGAATCATGAATGTTCCATTGTTACCATAAGAATAATAAAGAACATATAATTTCATTAGTAAAGTTCCCTTTGGAATCAAAATATTGATAATAATTACTCTATATGTCTATTTGATTAATTTATGTTTTAAAGACATCTTTAAAACATATTTTATGGATGTTCCATATAAGGTATTATATGAATATCAATTATGGAGATTGTTCTTTACTCAATTTATAGAATGTATAATAATATTGTATAACTAAATAGAATTATTTGGATTAATCATAATGCCTTATTTTATGTGTATGAATCTGTCAGATATAGAAAAAAGACTTGGAACAGTTGTATTTCTAATTGATTTCTTTTTCAAAAGTTTCATGATTCAAGTATTTCTTCTCTCTAATTAGGTTATATTCTTAATCATTTCCCTAATAATAAATAACATATCTATACCTTCATATGGTTTATGGAATGTGTATTTTGTTTACGTTAGTTTAGAGTAAAAATCATTATTATCTTAGTTGTTTTAAAAATCCAGATTCATTAAGAACAATTTTCTTATGTCCTTGTGTTTTTCCTGCCAAATACACCCCATTTGTTCTTTTTATTTTTGGATAATTAATAAGTTAAAGCTATGATATTACCGCAGCTTTTATATTATTATGTGTTGAAGCTTATTTCTTCAATTTTATGATATTGAGACCTAGTCAAGTAAAATAATATCATTTTAATTCAATAGCAATTTATACAAAAATTAGAAAATAGTTTTCTATTTAGATGCTTTAAATCCAGATCGGATTTCTATATTATGACATAAAATTTATAAGTTAATTCTTCATATTCATCCGTATTACCAGTTTAATATGTTTAAGAATTTTCAGGCAAAGGAATTCAAATTGGAGGTACCCTTAATTTTGATACTACTGAATCCATTAATAAGTAATAATTATTTAAATTTAGTTACTAATATTAAGAAATCGATCCATAATAAAGCCAATAAAGTCATTGATATATAATTATAATTCATATATATATCTAATTTTGAGTACTTAATCTTTAATTAATAAACTTCCTATTTATATATCAATATATATCTTATCCATCCATATATTACTCTAATTATTAATAACAATTAATATTATATCACATAATTATCAATAATTGAAACATAAAGAAAAATTAATTTATTACATATTCTTATAATATTTCTAATATTTGCAACTCTATTAACAATTGCAATTTTAAAATAAGAGAATAAGAATATTATTTATTTATATACTATTTCATTAATAGTAAACAATAATGAATAATGAGTTACGTTTATTGTTTTATAAATTCATATAAAGTTATCTTATATTCTTATAAATAATACTCAATAATATTATAGATTATCATGATGTTTTTATTTTTAAATGTATTAAATATAAAATTATATATTTAATGATATTTTATTTATTCTCTTTTGAATATATGCTTAATAATAATAAAAAAAGAATATTTCTTACTTGCGGCACAAATATCTCATTTTTTTAATCGAAATTTGTAACCTATTTAGTAAGATCTTTATTGTATTTACGAGATGGACAGTTTGAGTTCATATTGAGGAAATTAAACTGTGGCAATCTCATATATATGCAAAGAATAGAATTTAATAATAGTTATTTTGCCAAACATTCTAATTCATTTATTATGGGTTATTAAAAATAAATAAAATTATTCTAAATACTATTATAACCAATCAAATTGTATTATGTTACATTCTATTAGATAACATAAAGTTAATTCAACATAATAAGAACTCTATTTCACTTTTATGAAGTTGATTTGATAATTTAAATGATAATAAATGTTAAATGTAAATTAGTATTATAGTATAATTGAATGAAATTTAGAATTAGAGTAAATAATAATTTTAGGTGATTGATATAGATTAGAATAAATAATTTTCAATATAAATATAAATAAAAAATATATTGCAAATTAAATAAATAATGCATTCATATTAACAGCAAGAACTTATTGACTTACTGTAAAACCATTCTAATATAGCTATCGATCGCCAATTGATAAGTTAATTGTATAATAAATGTTTGCAAGATGTAAACACCTGAATTAATATTATAGCATAAACAATGTACACTTCCTTAGTTTGAGAAGGTATACAAAGAGGCAATTTAATTATTGAGTCAAAAAATAGCTAATTCAAAATAACAATTACAAGAAGAATAGGATAATTTAGTATCAATAGATGAAAGATTGAAAAATACTCCATTAATTAATAATAATAATTATAGGATTCCAATGAGATTAACTCTACATTCAGCATCAGTATTGAATTTGTAAGTGCACAACAAGTTTATGGTAGGATCTTTTGCATTTTATATGAAGATAGAAGATTATTATGAATATGAAAGTGATTTCAAACCAAGTTATAATTTACAATTCTAAATTAATTAAACTATAGATATTTTAGATGTTGGTGATAGTATTCTACTTGCTTTGAATACAAATACTTAAAATTAGATGAACACTACTATTGTGATACCAACATATTCTTTATAGTTTAATAAAAATGTTACTGAATTACTGACTTAAAAAGAGAATGGGGAATTATTAGAAATAGAAATTACATATGAAATTAAAGTCTTAGATTAGAAGTTATTG